ATAAAATCAAACACACTTAAATCATTAACTGTATGGAGTTTGTATTCAATGCTCAAAACAATGTTATTAAGCAAGAAGGACGTTGATATTAATACATTTCTAAAGTTATTAGCTTTTTTAAAGAAAAAATTTATGGGATATAAAGCAAAGAAATCTAAAGTTTTTAGTAAACAAGTAGATACATTTTTGACAGATGCCTCAAATCTTGAGTATCTCGCTATTAACGTATTTTCAATAATTTTTAGTAGCTGCATTTAAAATTTTGACATTTTAATTTTTTGTAGACTATACTAGTAATTGGCGTAGCCGGCGCATCCATTCATTACAGTATATGAAATACGATGGCGAGGATTATTGAATATATTCCTCACCATTACAGATAGCTATTTATAAAGACAGGATTAAGAATTTCAAGAGAATTTCTATTGATGGAACTGGAGGCGTTATCCAAAAACCAAAAGGAAAAACAAAATATATCTTTCTCTATCAAATGGTCATGCATGGGCAGAATGAGATTACTCCTATTTTTCAAATTCTCTCAGGAAAGCATGACATGATTGCAATTGAATATTGGTCGAGAACGTTTTTTAAATTGGCCTGTCACATCCCAGAGGAAGTCACGTGTGATTTTTCATTAGCATTGCTCAACGCTATAATTTTAAGTTTTAATGAATGTCGTTTAAAAATATACATTGACCTCTGCTTTAGATGGTTGCAAGATGAACAATTACAGTTTGCCCTTGTATGCTATGTTCGACTGGATCTTGCTTACGTCATCAAGATGTTATGTCAAAAAAAAATGTTCAATGGAGAACCAGGAATGGTAAAGGATTTTTATGTGTTCTGACTACGTGTGAGACGATATTTGATTTTCAGAAACTTCTTTCTGCATTTTTCGTTGTAGCCCTGAGTGAATGCCATGGTCAAGACTATGATGGAAAAGCACTGATAAGTCAACAACGTCAAATATTTCTTTTTAAGAAAATAAAAACATTTACTCTCAAAGAAGATTTTTTTCACCTATGAAGATGATAAGCAGCCTAATGAAACGGATGAAATAAATTACATCGACCTGATTAATTTTGATAAGCAAATAGAGAAGCTTGCAGAAGAGGAAGCTAAAAGATGCTCCGATTTTGATCATCCTAATCCTTATTATTTGCCAGATATCGTCAAATATCTCATGAATTTTGTTGAATACACTTTGGGCAAATGTGATAAAAGAGAAATTCGTTTCTCAAAATAATGTAGGAACGTCGGCTATTGTTGAGGCTTAACTTCAAAGCTCTGATGCATTTATGCACCTTTAGTGGTGCTATTCGAGCTGACAAGTTCTTTGTCAAACACATGCGAGCTATTGAAGCCATCTGCAAACTCGAACGTGCAACAACAAAACGAAAAAAAAAACGCTCTTCCGATAGAAAATATCGTTCAGAAAAAATTAAAGACAGAGAAGAAACCAATTAAAAATGGTAATTCCAAAAAATTAAAATATGACGAAGACTACGACCTTTTGAACATAGAATACCTATTTGAAAAAGAAAACTGGAGAGGCAAAAATACAGAGTTTAACCTTCGTATGACCAAGGGGGGTCAATTTTGACCCCAATGTATGTTTTTTTTTTTTCAATAACTTTAAAAATATTTTCAAATTTTTAACTGAATATTTTTTTATTTGACTATATTATCATGCGTAATATCCTCATATTTTGTAATAACAAAATTTCCAATATTTTACAACAAAAAAATATTTTCTGAATTTGGGGTCAAAACGACCCCCCTTGGCCTTTCATGTTTTAACTTTATATTAGGTAAATACTGTCTATATGTGGAATTCCGAGTAGTTCACTGCGCATAATAAAAATCTATTTGTAGACCGTGTCTATACGTACAGTTGTTGCGACGTTAGGACCTGATTTAGTTAGTTATTTTCTTTATTTACTAGCGATATATAGTTTCTTAGTGTTTTGTGTATGAAATATGGCTTGCATATATCTTACCACGGTTGAGTTAGAGCAGATAACTAATGCAAGTGATTTTTATGATGATATAGAAGACGAAATAATATCAGAAAACGTGGATGTATTGTTAGAGGATGATTCAAATGCTGAAAACAGTTCAACAGACACCGGAGAAGAAAGTGACGACGATACAAACCAATGGGAAAATAATTTGGCAAAAGATGGCACATTGTGGAATAAATAGAAACCTAAAAGGTCCAAACCAATTTTGAATCTGTGGAGTACAACAAATCCATCGTTTCAGAGGTCTATTTTTCGTGCAACAATGTCCCGAAACAGGATAAAGTCTTTACTTAGATTTCTAAGGTTTGATGATCCCGCAACATGCCAACAAAAACGCGCTTTGGACAAGTTAGCTTCAATACGAGAGATACATGACCTTTTTTCCTCAAACTGTAAGAAGTCCTATACACCCACATCTGATGTTTGTGTCGACGAACAACTTGTGCCTTTCCGTGGAAGATGTCCATTCAGGGTCTACATGAAATCAAATCCAAATAAATATGGCATAAAAATGTGGGCTTTGTGTGATTCGACTAATTCGTATTGCTGGAATCTACAAGTCTATACAGGAATGATAAATAACATACTAGAAAAAGAGCAAGGTAATAATTATCGATGGCGACATCATAAATAGTGCTAAATTATTTTTTTTTCTTTTATAGATAAGCGTATCGTTTTGGATTTAGTAAATGGATTAGGATCTGGATATAGTGTAACCACAGACAACTTTTTCACCTCGCTGCTCTTGTCAAAGAAACTCTTACAGGGACAATTAGAAAAAATCGTAAAGAGGTTCCCAAACAATTTATCCCCAACAAAAACCGAGCAGAACATTCAAGTGAAATTTTGTAAACTAAAGATGCCATTTCAGTTTCATATATGCCGGAAAAAAAATAGGAGCATTCTGCTGCTAAGCGCAACATTCTGACCTAAATGTGTCCGGTGAAGAAACAGCCTATAAACCCATAATTATTTTGGACTATAATAAACACAAAGGTGCTGTATATAGTTTGGATAAAATGGTCAAGGAATATACATGCAGTCGTAATACAAAGCAGTGGCCTCTAGTTTTATTTTTCAATTTCATTAACATACGTGGAATAAATGCATTTGCGCTGTATGTTGATAAATATAACGACTACGAAAAAGAAAAATCTTTTCGAAGAAGGCTCTTTCTTCAAGATTTGGGCCTTGACCTAGTTACGCCCATTATACAATCCCGACCGCGTCAGGGTTTACATAGACATATTTAAACAGCCATAGATATAGTATTACTAAAATGTTCAGAAAATTCTGAAGATGCGGAGCCAAGTGAAAACCCCAAGAAACGTGGCCGATGTATAATTTGCAGTCGATCTTTCGACAGAAAATTTACATCAAAATGCGATAAATACAAACATTGTGTCTGCAAGAAACACTCAAATATTAAAAAAGAATAGTTTGTAACACTTGTGGCAACTTAAATTAGTGATTTTTTCAAATTTCTTTACTTTTAAGTTCAGACTTATATTTTTATTTTATTTTCTGGTTAATTGGACATAGATATTTCGCTCGTCCAGAACAAGACTGGTCTAACTCATAAAAATGCGATTTTGAGTTTTTTGCACGAAATATCTTCAAATTACCTATACTGTCTCTGTGCAAGACCGCTTCTTAAACAACTTAGTGGATCACCCCTAGATAGAGGGCAGGTAAGTGAACCATCTTAGATTTGTAGAGTGGTGCCGCGCAAGAGAGAATCATCTTAGTTGATCCTTGTCACTCATGAGTAACGGTGCGTTTCTATTGTGCAAAAGTGGATTATTGTGTGATAAACCAACAGTAAGTAACTTCTCTAGTGCATATGTGGGCAACCCCCGGCCCCCGGGCCGGAACCGGCCCTCCACCAGCTTCAATCCGGCCCGCGAGAAGCTGTCAGTTTTATGGAGAATTTATGATTACATAAAATTTTATAAAAAAATCAAAGGAATTGGGTCATGCATCATGTTCAATAACAATAAAAAATAATAACAAAAACATTATATTAAAACATTTTAAATATTTTTAAGAAAACCACCCAGTAAAAAAGAACGAACTTAAAAAAAAACAGTTATTCTAAGACCATAAAAACATTAAAAGAACAAACACATAAACAAAACGTTTCTGAATTCGGAACATAGAACATTTAAAGCAAAAACTAAATTCTAATTTGAAATTTCTTCCATTCCATCAGAATTCTCTTAACCCAACAAGTGAACCAAAATTTTCTCCAACGTGAACGCACACAAAAATACCACTAAAAGAGCTTGCGATCTTGCAAATGCCAAACCAAACTGCTATTTTGCAAGTCTATGCGAGTTGAGACCTGAGCAAAGCATGCGCGAAACAAGCCGCCCGATGCGCTTGCGTACGATCGAGTGTATTCTAGTTACTTATTGGGGGTAATATATAAACCGCTTAGCGCGCGTCGCCTCATTACTTCTTAACAACCGATAAACGTACGACGTGGGAAATATTCAAGCAAAAACATGTCTGGTTCAAAAAAGCGGAAAGTGGACACGGAATGTCGTCAATTCCAAGACAAATGGACTGATGAATACTTTTTTATCTTGCACAGTGGTAAACATATGTGTTTGTTGTGCAATGAAACAATTTCTGTTTTAAAAGAATACAATATGAAGCGGCATTACTCCAGTAAGTATTTTGCTCAATATAATTCACTCATGGGCCAGTTAAGAAAGGATAAAATTAAAAAAACTCATTACCGATTTAGGGAAACAGCAACAAATGTTCCATTCACAAAGATCAAATCTAGACAGTGTTGTTAAAGCTAGTTTTATAATTAGTTCCAAAATAGCGAAAACATCGAAGTCACTTTCTGAGGGACAGTTTGTTAAAGAGTGCCTAGTAGACGTTGCAGAACTTTTGTGTCCAGAAAAGAAGAGAGAGTTTGAGAAAGTGAGCTTATCGCGACGTACTGTTGTTCGACGTATAGATATGATGGCAAGTGATATCAAAAAAACATTGACTGATACATTAACTAGTTTTCAAGCTTTTTCGATTGCTTTGGATGAGAGTACAGATTTATCTGACACTGCCCAGTTAGCTATTTTTATACGAGGTGTTGATGAAGAAGTTGCAGTGACAGAGGAATTACTGGCTTTGCGGCCGCTACAAGGGACCACTACTGGAAAAGATATTTTTGCCGAGGTGCAAAGTACTGTAATGAAAACACCCTGTGTTCAAATACAATAATCATACTAATAATAATAATAATAATAACACTAATAATAATAAGCAAACTAATAATAATTACCATACTAACAATAATAACAACCATATTAATAATAATAATAACAGTAAGAAATAAAAATAATTTCGGAAAATATTATAACCCTGTATATGAAAAATTTGATATGAAAGTCTTAAGTGTAAGATACGATGGGTAGTAGGTAGAAAGGATGGTTTCGATGGGATGGAAGATGGTCAATTTTGAAATTTAAAAAAAGAAACATGTCAGAAATTTGGGAAGTAGAAATTTATTATTTTTAAAAGATATGGTCAAAAAAGAATTGAAAAACTGATAATGTAACACATTTAGAATAAACAAATTTATCTAACCAGAGGAATATAATTAAAAGTTATAAGATATATGGTGTAAAATAGTTATAGAAAACATTGGTAATTACGTTCCGGCGAGACACACATAAAAAACCAAAAGAGGAGAAATAAAGCGAAAACAGTAATGGAAATAAACAATTTCAATATGAACTGTGAGTAATTTTGTATAAACTGATTACTATAAATAATTTGTGCGAGAAAAGTCAGTGATAGTAAATATTTTTTTTTTGTAGAATTTAATTTTAGTAAATAGTTTAGGTAGTATGAATGAAGAGCGAGTGTATTTAGAGTAGTTTTAGTAATATAGTAATATAACCCCATGAATGTAAACAGCGGGGCATTTTGTTAATTGGAGGTTTGATACTGTGTTTAAAAATAAAACTTGTATTTTTGGTTTTGAAAATTTGTTTATTTTATTTAAAAGTACAGGGTATAAAACAAGTTAAGTTATATATATTTTAAATTTTTTGTTGATTATTGATTAAAATAAAATTAAAATTAAATTATAATAACATTAAAATAGAATTAAAAAAAAATACAATTGAAATAAAATTAAATAAAATTAAAATAAAATAAAATTAAATTAAAAAAGTAATAATAATATAATTGGAAGCACCCCTGAGATAGAAATAATAATAAAAAAAAAAAATTAAAAAAAAAAATACTTTAATTAAATTAAAAAATAAAATTGGTATATGTGTAATATCATTACAGTACTTTTGAGCAATTTGGTTTACAGTGGTATAAATTAGTTGGAGTGTGCACGGATGGTGCGCCTTCAATGGTCGGTTCACGAAAAGGTTTTATCGGAATTCTGAAGGAAAGAGCAACAGCTATGAATGTGCAAGAATGTGATTTAATAATTCTGCATTGCATTATTCATCAACAAAATTTGTGCTCCAAGTCCATTCGATTGAAGAATGTTATGGACGTGGTAGTAAATACCATTAATTTTATTAGATCCCGCGGTCTTAACCATCGCCAGTTTAAAGCATTTTTGGATGAACTTTCTTCAGAACACGATGATGTGACATATTATTGCGAAGTAAGGTGGCTAAGCAAAGGTAAAATGCTAAAAAGATTTTATGACCTTAGAAAAGAAATAGCTGATTTTATGGAAATGAAAGAGAAAACATTACCGCAAATTTGTGATCCAACTTGGCTTTGTGACTTGGCATTCCTGGTAGACATCACAGGACACTTAAACGATCTGAACTTGAAGCTCCAAAAACAAGGGCAATTGGTAAATCAGTTGTACAGTCATCTTATAGCTTTTCAAAACAAAATTCGCTTATGGGAAACACAAATGAGAAGTTCAAACTGTTTTCATTTTTCAACATTATCCAGTCACGAAAATATTGAATACGGTCGTTATACTGAAGAATTGAAACTACTGTCCGAGCAATTTACCGATCGATTTTCCGATTTTAAGAATATGGATAGCACTTTCAATATTTTTGCAAATCCTTGTAAGTGTAGTGTGGAAGATGCTTCGCTTCACCTACAAATGGAGTTGATCGAGCTTCAAGAAGACTCATATTTGAAATCTAAATTTGATGATGTGGAACTAAGCGAATTTTACAGAACATACCTTTCCAAAGAAAAGTATCCACGGCTGAGAGCTTTCGCACGAAAAATAATTTGCACATTTGGAAGCACGTATAAATGTGAGCAGCTTTTTTCAATCATGAAAATTAATAAAAATAAGCATCGTACTCGGCTTACAGATGTTAATTTAGAAAACACTTTGCGCCTATGTACTAGTGATATTGAACCCAATATTGATCATCTTGTTTCTCAGCTTCAAACTCAAGTCTCTCATTAATTTTTGTTTGATCTTTTTTTATTAACTTGCTTTTTATATGATTGAGCATAACTATTATAATTAATAAATAAAAAAATGTGTGAATTTTTGTCGCTCTTTTATTCACTACTACCTACTTATTTCTTGCCTATGGCCCGCGACCTAATTAAGTCCCGAAATTACGCCCTCAGCGAAGCAAAGGTTGCCCATACCTGCTCTAGTGCAAAACTGAACTATTATGATAATGGCTCTATTTTGAACAGCAAATAACTTATTTCTCATTAGATTATTCTCTTCAAAAAAGAGCCAACTTGTGATAGTCCTTCTTAGCTCTGAAATTTTCTGTAATTATTGGTGTCAACCTAAAATAGCCCTCTTTTACACTGAAATTTCTAGTGATATTGTTCTTGGTAAGTGTTCTGTTATGGAGATATATCTATCTTACATACAAAGATTGAGAAAAGTAGTTCCGTTCAACACCCTTAACCTCCGATAATTAAGTTGCTGTTTTGATATTTGTTGAAATTTGTTTAGTTACTGATTCCTGTTTCCGGAAATAAAAATGAACAGAGGAAAACAAATGGTGGAATTGGCAATGAAAAACCAAAGCCAAAACCAAACCCCAGGTAAATCCAACTTTTAGTAAATTATTTAAAAACAGCTGTACCTCTTAATTAAAATTTTCAATATAAGATGTTTTGAAGTGTAAACAACACGTACAGAAAATTATGTGGGCGGTGAATAGGATTTTTGCGGGCGGTGAATATGATTCGGACATCACGCTATTTTCGTACGTGTATATTTCTACGAAATTAAGCACACGTGTTCGCGGTAGGGCTTAACACATTTTAACAAAATTCCAGTGACGACGCTAGAGGAAGGCCCTGGTATATTACTTTCCTATATCCAATGGCATTGTTCGATTTCAACGATATTTTGTGCACATATTTGCAAAAGGCCCTTACACATTTTGATTAAATTCCAGTGGCGTAGCTACAGGTAGTCCCTTACAAAGTATATTACTTTTGTATATTAAGTGAGGTTGTTACATGTCAACGATACTTTGCACATGTATTAGCGGTAGGCGCTTACACAGGCCCTTACACATAAATTACTTTCGTATATCCAGTGGCGTTGTTAAAAGTTTACACTTCTCCCGTGTATTCTTAAGCACGCCTGATTTTTTTATGCTCACTTTCAGACACCAAACAACTGATTACGATAAAAACGACGATTTTCAATGTCCATGACTGCAATCAATCTTCTATTGAGACTGAAACCTCCCCAGTAATCAACCAAGATGCTGCTCCTTCTCAAGGTAGTGCTTCAAAATTTCAATTCCAGTATTTTAATCGACTGGGGAAAATATTTCATAGTGCATATTTTCTCGTTTCAGATGCCAATCACGTCCATGAGGACAATCAACCTCCGATTGAAACCTCCCCAATAAACAATCAAGACGTTGCTCTCAAGGTATTACTGAAAAATTTCAATTCTAGTATTTTAATGGACTAGGGAAAATATTTCATAATGCCTATTCTCTCGTTTCAGATGCTAATCACGTCTATGAGGGCAATAAACTTCCGATTGATACTGAAACATTCCCATTAAACGATCAAAACGCTGCTCCTTCCAAAGGTATGCTACAAAATTACAATTCAAGTACTTAAATTGATTTTGGAGTATTATTCATTGTATGATGATCCTAATGTTTGGATTTCAGATGTAACTGTCCATGAGAGAGGTCCCCAGGTAACTGCTAGGCGTCTATACAGGTCATCGTCATCATCAAACTCGTCTTCCTCTTCCTCGTCAAGCAGTTGTTCTTCGTCCTCCAGTTCGTCATCGTCCTCCTCAAGCGAGGATTGTGATGATTATTTGAGCAATCCTAATTATGACGTATCTTTTTCCGATCATTCTGAAGAACATGACTCACCACCATCGACAAAAAAAGTACGAACCAGTCCTGTCCATTCTGAAGAAACTGTAAAGAAACCTGTTCGCAAAAGGAAAAGGAATACTTCAGAATGGAAGAGAAACATTGCAAAGACTATGAGGAACACTGGAAGAAGTTACGCATCATTGGGAGTGCGAAAGAATCCTGATGGCACCAAAGAAAAATACGTCAAGTTGAGGGAAGCCAGAAAGGTACAACCTCCATGCAACGAAACTAAATGTCGCTTAAAATGTGCTGCCAACATAAGCGAGGAAATGCGCAGAGAAATTTTTACAGAATACTGGAACCTCTTGAATATCCATTTGCAAAGAACGTTCTTGAACAGTTGTCTTTCTAAAGTCAACCCCCGATACCGCTATGGCCGATTGGATAAGACACAAAGAGCCCTGAACAAAGCATTTTATTTTACCATTGATGGTAAAAAAAACGTGTGTGCAAGATCTTCTTCTTGGCCACTCTCAATATCAGTGCTCGAGCTCTCAGTACTGCGATAATGAAGGAAAATGCAAATATTGGTGGTATTGTTGAGTCAGACCAAAGAGGAAAACACCAGAAACAACCTACTCTTCCACCTGAGATGAAGGAAGGTGTACGAAATCACATCAACTCCATACCTCGACTCGAAAGCCATTACTGCCGATCGAAAAGTAAAAAAGAGTACATTGAAGGAGGAAAGTCGATTGCAGATCTGCATCGTGATTAGGTCGAGATCCAGAAAGAGGCCGGCCAGTCATTCGTTAAGTTACTCAATGTATGCATTCGTATTCAACATGGAGTTTAACATTGCTTTCCATAGCCCTAAAAAAGATCAATGTAACTTTTGTTTGGGCTACCTGAACGCATCTGAAGCTGAAAAAGAACAGCTCGAAGATAATTACCGACAGCACTTTAGAGAAAAGGAGATGGCACGATCAGAAAAGGATGCAGATAAAGGATTAGATAAAATTGTGACTGTTTTTGACCTGCAAGCTTCCCTGCCTTGCCCTCAAGGAGAATCATCAGCCTTTTATTACGTGTCCAAATTAAACGTGTATAACTTCACTATGTACGAACTACAGTCCAAGAAGACGTATTGTTTCATGTGGCATGAAGGCCAAGCAAAACGAGGTGCCAACGAAATTGGCAGTTGCATCTGGTTGTACCTCGAAAACCTGAACAGAACCATCGATTCCCCAGTCGATGTCGTCTTTTACAGCGATAACTGCGGAGGTCAGCAAAAAAATCGGTTTGTTTTTGCCCTGTTCATGTTTGCCACATGGGAACTTAAAAATATCAGATCTATATCCCACAAATTCTTAGTAACACACTCAAAATGAAGGAGACAACGTTCACTCTGTGATAGAACGGGTTATAAAGAAATATAGAAAAGCCTCACCCATCTACGTCCCAGAAAATTATGTCTCCATAATTTCACAAGCAAAGAAGACACCTCCAATCTACGTTGTCAAGCAAATAGATTTCTCCGAAATCATCGATTTGAAAAAGCTGACAGCTGACTTAAAAATAAAGGATGCTTTATTTAATGAAGAGGGCGAGAAGGTACCAATCGCTGATATCTGTGTGATCGAGACCCACAAAGATGAGCCCGGATTGTTTCGATATAAAACATCATTCTCTCAGCAAGATTTCAAGTCTATCAACATAGCGAGCCAGAACAAGAAACGTCGAAGCAGTTCATCTGTATCTTGCAGTTTAAGTTTTTCAATGGTTGCACTTTCCAAGGCCTATACAAGAAAGTCGAGCATTACTAACAATAAAAAAGATGCACTTCTTTCTCTTTTCCAGAAAAAGGGCAATGGTGTAGCTGTCATGCCCCAGTGTTACAAAGAGTTTTATGAAAATTTGTAGAAGGTGACCACTTTCCTGGGTTTTCCACAAGCACTATGTTATTTCAAACTTTTATTTTCATTTTTTTTTACCTAAGTAATTTTATTGTTTAGTTCCAGTAGGTAACGAATTTGCTCAGTATTTTTCCCCCTTTTAAAGTATCTATGTATATTTAGTATTTGTATGACTTTCATACTACCTATGCTGTTGTACAGAAGTAATTAATATTTTATGAGCTGTGATTTTCTTAAAATAATGAAGACGTCTGATGTATCCACAATTTGTAATAAAAGTGCCTACGTAGTCTGAAAAAGTAGTTACCACTGAGATTGAGATTGACAATATAGGAACTTTTATGATTTTTCTCACTAGTAAGTCTCAAGTATTTTTTAAGTCACCTAGATAAGTACTATTTTTTACACTTGCTTTCCTATTTTTGTACTTGTTTTATAAAAAATAAAGAATTTTTTTACGTTTTTGTATCAATAATAACTGGAGTTATCTTTAAAAAACCTGAAATATTTCGGTGCAAGAAAGGAGCATCTTGGGGTTTTGCCCATAAATTCATAAAAAAAAAATAATTGTATAGAGAGGGAAGGGGGAACCTCTGGAAATCTATAGGGGATTTCTATGATTGTGATGATTTCTAGAAAATTTCAACAATCGGATAACGCAAGCAACGGATATCAAAGGAAGGAAAAAGAAGAAACTTTAATCGGCTCTACTGAAAAATTGCTTTTTTTGAGTTAGACCAGTCTTGTTCTGGAAGAGCGATTTGTTATACTAATGTTTATTACGTCATTTAATATAAAAATACAAGCATTAAATTATGAATAAATGATTTGCTAAAAAAATGGGGTCATTCTTGATCCCCGTTGGGCATCCGTGTATAAAAAAAAGGTTGGTCATCGGAAGGTTAAGGATATCGACCAAAAACATAAATACCTAAGTGTGACCAGAGGTCTTGACCGAGCTGAATTATCCTTCATGAATCAAAAGGGTGACTCACAAACTTCGATACTAAAAGATTCGTTTTAGCAAAAACCACTACAACCAATGAATCAGAACAATGAAACTCATCTGAATTCAACGTCTCCTTCTACGTTGCAAGATAATTATAGTAAGCGTAGAGCAAATAAACTAGAACCCGGCAATTTGCAACGTAGATCTGAAATTAGAGAATAAAAAGACCAAAGCAATGGATCTTATAACTTTTATTGAGGAAATAAAGGATGACGGAAGAACTAAGCAAAATTCAAGATCAAAAACCAGAGGAAAGTATGTCACAGCATGTCCAGATGTCCCACTTATCCACAATAAACCTTTGAGAAGAAAGAAAGAACGCCATTTTGCGAGACGGAATGTACTTGTTGACAGTTTGGATCAAAAACAAATTGGTACAGCTAAAAAATACCTGCCCCTTTGATACAATAATAGAAATTTTAGCTACAGCCTATATGGACAACCGCATTTTTCAAGAACAACTTGACACTATACAAGAACATAGTTTAACCGTTTCTTTTATAAAGAACTATGCTTTAAACGGAGCCCGACAAGTGAAATATTCCAAGCGAGAGCTTCAATTCTTTCTAACATCTTCAGTGAACATAATGTTCTCAATTGTGCTGCAAATAATACAGCAATTATCAACAAATTATTTGTCGATACTCCAAAGGCAGTACTAAGCAAGACGTGCGCCAACTGCATTTCCGGTAAAAGTTACAATTGAAGTTGATGCACAGCATATCATTTCATTGGTCGAGGAACGAACAAAGGATTGCCAGATTTTATATCAGAGTTCTTCTCTATGAAAGAAGAAAAGTGTAAAACTTGCCAAAGTATGTCATTTGTTAAAATTATTCCTGGAATACGTCTACTTTTAAATGTTGAATTTGAGTACCACAGTACATTTCATAGGTAAACCCAACAACATCAAGTAAAATTTCTTTATCGGAAATTCCGAAAAAAATTTAATTAATGCGCGACAATATATATTGAATGGTACAGTTGAATTTGTACCATCACTAATACCTGATGTATTAGGCCATTATCTGGCCTATTGTCGTCAAATCGTTGGGAAATTCACGACGACTTGTGCAAAGAACTGCGATCTATTCCCAATCACCCTAGCAAAAAAATAAAAGTGTGCACGATTGTGTACACCTCTAGTTTCTAGTAAATTGACACCAGAATGGTGTTTCAGAATAAAGTACCGCAAACAAGGGAACTTGTAGATTTTAACTAATTAATAAGAAAAGCTAAATTTAATTTTCTCTAAATATTTCAGTTTTCATTCTACAGGGTTATAAAGTGAATATTATGAATACATAATTTTCTATCTTCCCTTACTATACAAATTTCAACTTAAAAATATGTATATGTTAGTTAATCGCCATTATTAGTTAACACACATTAATTCGATCAATTACAATAACCCATTGCAGCACAATCAAAGACTAAGAAAATTATTTTAATTCAAACTTTTTGAATACCCTATATTTCATAAAAGTTAAGAATAATAATTCTTCCTCACGCAATTTATCACAAAAAAAAGAACTCTAGGTTTTAGTTTTTAGTGAATTGTCCACATAATTTTATTGTAATACAAACAGCGACTAGTTTCGTCCTCTAGATGCCGAAACTAGTCGCCGTTTGTAAAACAATAAAATTTTAAAGTATTGCCACATTAGTGAAAATTAATTATTTGCTCTACTACTAATTAGCCAGTCGGGACTTTTTTTAATATCAATCTAAATTAACATATTTTAATCAAAAACATACAAAAAATGTTTCCTATGTTTCTACCTTTATTTCGAGAAATTATTTTTGTTATCTTTTGAATATTTATACCAAAATAGGCTTTTACATTGAGTAAAATATATCTAAAACATGTATTTTTTATTTTCAGATAAATTTTTCTTTCAAAGCATTTTACCAAACGAAATGCCAATTACCGGCGATCTCTTACAATTGCAAAGAAATGTATTTGCATGAAATAATAAGTGCCACAGATAATTCCGTTGGTTACAAAATTTATGACATTAAGAAATTTGAAAAGAGAGCGAATTCGAAAAAACAGAAAACGATAGATAAAGTTAACTACCACAAAAGATACAGATGAAGATTAAGGAGCACTACAAGAAGAAATATCCGAGGAAGAAATATTATGTAGAAAAATTAAATTGGCAAAAATATTAAAAAAAAATAAAGAAGAAATTACAAAAATTGAAAAGTTACTAGAGGGCAAAGTCTATATCCTGTATGAAGCAGGAAAGAGCCCTTCGATTAACTGCATCGAACTTTGGACTAGTTTGCAAAAGGAGAAAAAGTAGTTCCGACAAACTTGTCAAAAATATTTTATAAAGCACATTTCGTGGCAATAAAGCTACTAAATATTGACAAGATCATGAAGTAGTGGCCATGAAGGTATTTATGGATTTTACTGGATTGGAGGTAGAACAATGCGGTTTGATTGTGGGGAGTGAAGATGAATATTTTTTAGGGGCCAGTCCAGATGGTATAATAAAAGAGGAAGAAGCAATATTGGAAATTAAATGTCTAAAAAAAATTGGAATATACTTCAGTAAAAAATGGCATAAAAGAAAAAATAACTTTTTTAAAAGAAAATGAAAATGGAAAATATTCGTTAAAACAAACCACAATTATTACTATCAGATTCATGGATAGATGCATTTATCTAAAAAATATTAGTGTTATTTTGTAGTGTATTCTCCTGCAGGACCGCTACAAATCGAAAAAATTTCTAAAGATGAGAACTTCTGGGATAAGTGCATAAAGGATAAAATATCGTCTTTTTACTTTATGGCACTTATTCCAGAAATTATAATAAAGCCCGTGTAATAAACATGTTTCAATAAATTTATTAAAAAGCATCTTGTTTTTTATTTTTCTGGTTCCAAGACGAAATCATAACGTGAAATGATAAAAAAGTACAAAGCTATATTTAAAATAAAGGAGTCATGAAAATATCTTGAATTACTCGTAATCGTTTTTAGTGGCTTAATAAAGAAATAAATCTAATTTAATATCTGAGGAAATTTTTGACTTCATTTCCGTCAAATTAATACATTCAAAATACTATTAGCCCACTTATTGGATTTATATAAGGGCGTTATTCTAGGAATAAACAATTTCAGATGGACACCATGATATATTATAGGTAAGTACACTTTTATATCACGATGATTAATCATCAATAGATTAAGAATGTAATTATAAATCTTAAATGTTTTTTTTTTCAAATTTTTGACATTAAAAAGTAATTAACCGCTTAAATACTACTTTTCTTATTAGGTACATGTAGTATTCTGATAATGTAAACGATTCGCGAAAGTCAAATATACGACGCCAATACCACGGCATTCGTGTACAGACCTTGGGTGAAATATACAGTGTGAAAAAGCCAAATGGAATAAATTCATTATTTCTATTACTGTACATTAGACTGGGCCAAAAAAATTGACTGTTTTTTTTTTGAAAAATATATCGAGAATGTCATTTCGTGAAAATTTAAGCCCTTAATATTAATTTTAAGAGGTCTATCGTCGCTATTTTTGATTTTTAGTCATAATTTGATATTTTACGTTAGAACTGTCAAAAAATTAGAATACAAAAATTCTTTATCACTTATTTTGATACAAAATTAAATTCGCTACAAAAAAGGTCTGATTGAAAATTTTTGTCAGACGAGCCGTTTCCGAGTAATTGAGCTTAATAAATCGATGTATTTTTTCGATTTGCCCTTTTTATTTTGAAATTCTGTAACTAATGAACCAATGAATATTTAAAAAAGCTCATGTCGGATTCTTCAAGGGAATTTCATGTTCTACAAAAAAGGTCTCTTAACATTTTTGCCTAAATGCAATTTTTCAAAAGTTATTCACGATTGAAATCGAAGAAAAAATTGAAATTTTAAATTTTCCGTTCTTAACTCAATTTTTTTCACTTAACGGAAGAAATTCACTTTTTCGATTATTAAACATTATTCGTCACAAATCTCTCAATGTCTATCATTATTTCAACCAAATTATTACGAAAATATATCAATTTCACAATAAATATCAATTATTTTTCAACAAAAGCGTAGTTTTCTTATCTTTAAGTAATTTTTGGGTAAACAATTATTTAGTTTCGTTATTAAAAATGATTTATTTACAATATTTTATATATTTGTGAGTTATTATATTTACTAGAATACGAGAATTCGGATTTTGATTCGCTCTTTCTAAACTCATTAAATGCTATACCAAGTAAAATTACTCCCTCTTTTTTCAATAACCGCACTGTCTACTACGAAGCCCAGCCGAAAGAAAATGACCTTGAATTTTTATTTTCAATTGCGGTATCGCGTACAGTTCCGCGAAGTTTTCACTCACTTTTTACCTAAGCTGAGAACAAAGCCCTTACGCTTACCCCTACTCTCCCTACGCCCTACTCATTACTTCTTAGATTGCTTTGTTCTAACGATAGAAAGCTCTCACCGCTTGAGTAACTCGATCACTTTTTTCTATTATTAATTGTGCGCTGATACAAACAAGTCGCTTATGGAAATAAAAGTTGTTTACTAGAAATGTTTTTGTTTGTAATATTTAGCTACAATTTATTAACATTGCGAATTAACTCTTTGTGTATTATTTTTTATTCAGTAAATATTATTGTCATTGTCGTTACAGTGTTATAAGTTAAGTGTTAAATTAATTTGGTGTTTGCAAGTTTGTGTGATGAAGTGACTCTCTTCGTTTTTTCTAAACGTATTGTGTGGAATTCTCAAATTTTTTACAAAAACAGTTCAATATGACGTCCGAAAAAATAAATTTAATCGGTATTCCAATCGGTAAACTCAATACTCGCAAACTTCCGACTGTAAAAGAAGTTTTGTCATTATTTTTTTACTATCATACAGTTTTGTGTCTGAAAATTAATGAAAGTGCAAGAAAAACGGCGCTTATGGTTCGTGAATGTTGGGAAAAGCAACAAATTTCAACTACTGGTTTCCAGAACACTGTAAATAAAATCCTTGGTACTTATAAAAAATGGCAATTACTACAGTGCAATCGTAAGAGAACGAAATCACAAGCTCAAAATAAGAAAGAAATGATGTTTGAAGAAAAACTGAGAAAATTATTTAATATCGCTGGAAAAACCGGTTTGAAACGTTTGAATGGAGAAAAGATTCAGATTTCTGGGTATGAAATGTCCGAAAATCCGCAAGAATTTCCTGATAATAATACTTTACAACAAATTTCTGAAGAGCACGGTGAAATGATGGAACTAGATAAGTAAGTATTTTACAATGCGACTATAATAAAGAAAATCAATTCAACAATCCTACGTGTAGTTGTGTAAAAGAAAAATATTCCCTTTTGAATTACGATTCGTACTGCCTCAAGTTAATTTTTGAAAAGATGAAAATTATCTTGGTCTGAGTAAAATTTTTGTCAGATAAAGTATTTTACTTTCTCCAACATAATTTTTGTTTTCTGAAATATTGACTTAAGCAAAGAAAATTGGTTTTTCGATCAAAAAATTTTTCTTTTTTAGTAATTAATTTTCAAAATAATTCCAGATGTAGAAATAGATGACGAAAACAACGCTCCTAAACCAAGTCAAGAGTTCCAAACATCATCGCAATCGACGATTAGTCAAAATTCAAATGTTTCTGATTTTGAAATGGAAAATTTTCCCCCAAAGCTAATTCCAAAAATCAATATTATCACTCCAGAGCTAGCTGCTGCTCTTGATCGTGCTAATGTCAGTAGCAGAAACGCTACTTACATTTTGGCAGCTACTCTGAAAAGCCTTGGAATCGATATTCAAAGTGTTAATCTAAGTTATAAAACTATCCAGCGAAATCGTATATTTCATCGAAAAAATATTGCTGAAGGCTTAAGAGAAGACCTTAAATTTAATGATAATTACGTTGTTCATTGGGATGGTAAATTGTTGAGTGACATTGTTGGAACGGAAGTTGTAGACAGGCTCCCGATTCTTTTAACTTCATGTGGCTCTGAACAACTATTGGGAGTTCCAAAAATCGATTCAGGAACTGGTGTTGAGCAAGCATTAGCTGTACAATCAACTTTGAAGCAGTGGGGTGTCAGTGATTATGTCAAAGCGATGTGTTTCGATACTGCAGCTACGAACACAGGTTAGCTATCCTTAATGCCAATATTTTTACCTATATCTATTATTCTGGACTCCTTACTATAATTATCATTCAAGCCTTATAAAGTCACTCAAAAAATATTTTTGTATAATTTTGATTTCGGAAAGTAGCTTAAAAATTATTAAATTTATTGATATTATTGTACAAGTTCAATTACACAAATTTTCCAGACTCGATGGGTCATAAAGTTTTTGGCTTCTTATTGTCGTTTCTCGTTAAATTAAATAACTTCTTATCGTTCTTTATTACAGGAATCCACCACGGCGGTGGCGTAGAACTAGAGAAGCTTTTGGGGCGAAAGCTCGTTTGGTTACCATGTCGCCATCATGTCATGGAACTTGTTATTAAATGTGTTTTTGAAGTATACTGGCCGACGCAGTCAGGCCCAAACGTTCAAGTTTTTTCTCGATTCAAAGATTTTTGGAAACAGATCGACAAACTGAAATACGACGCTGGAATCAATGACCCTACAGTTGCTGACGTACTATCAGACGAAAAAGATCAGATCCTGGCTTTCATTAATAGTTATTCACAGGTATGTAAGAATCGAATAATTTTTATAAAAACAGTTTACAGCAAAATGTTATCTCATTGTCTCTAAACATTATGTAACTATATTTGAGTATTAAACTTCTATTAAATTTAAACAACAAATTTTATTTTGCACTCAAGATTAATTGTGACGGAATATTTATATTTTAAATGTGACTTTGAGTTTATTATTTTATTGTAAGAATGATAATCTCTGGCTAATTCAATGTTGTTTTTATAGGAATATCTTCCGAGAAATGATTACCGAGAGCTGTTGGAATTATCGTCGATTTTTCTAGGAGTAGCTCCAAAAGATAATTTCACTTTTAAACAACCGGGAGCCATGAGTCATGCTCGTTGGATGTCGAAGGCTATTTATTGCTTAAAAATATTCATTTTTAGAGAACAATTCAAACTGTCAGCTCGCGAATTAAATGGCCTTCGTCAGATATGTATTTTTATCGTCTCAATTTATATAAAAGCCTGGTTCACTTCACCTTCATCAGCTCCAAATAATGATTTGAATTTGATGCAGCAATTAATACTCTACCGTAAAATTAACTCGTCTGTTTCACAGGGAGCGATTAAAAAAATGGAAAAGCACTTATGGTATTTAAGCGACAAATTAGCAGTTATGTCATTATTTGATGATTCGGTACCAATAAATGTGAAAAAAAAAAATGATTGAAAATTTAAAAAATCGAAATCCTACGAAAACTAAAGCAAGAAAATACGAATTCAAACCAGAGAATCTAACTGAATTGTTAGAAAAAGATTTAAGTGACTTTGTTTCAACTGAATCACTTGGTTTATTTAAAGATTTCGATTTACCGTATGAGTTCATCAATGAAGAAGTACAAAATTGGCCCAATATTGATAGTTTTCAGGAATGAACGATTTTTCAATCATTTAGCGGTCGTAAATGATGTAGCTGAACGTGGCGTAGCGTTGATCGAAGAATACAATAAGTGTCTTACGAAAAACGAAGAGCAACTTCAGTACTTACTACTAGTTATTAGTGAATATCGCAAGAAATACCCTAATTGTAATAAAAAAACCTTAATGTAGTGGAATATTGTAACTAGTAGTTGTATATAAGTGTTAAACGATAAATTTCTATGGACTTTTTCTAAAATATGAGTTAAAATTGTGTTTAAAATAAATTTTTTACCATTTGTTACTGCTATTATTAATTAAGTAGCTATAATCTGTTTTTTTTTGTTTCATATAACTTTGTAAAATATTACAAATAAATCATTTTCAATAATGAAACTAAATAATTGTTTACCCAAAAATTACTTAAAGATAAGAAAACTACGCTTTTGTTGAAAAATAATTGATATTTATTGTGAAATTGATATATTTTCGTAATAATTTGGTTGAAATAATGATAGACATTGAGATATTTGTGACGAATAATGTTTAATAATGATCGAAAAAGTGAATTTCTTCCGTTAAGTGAAAAAAATTGAGTTAAGAACGGAAAATTTAAAATTTCAATTTTTTCTTCGATTTCAATCGTGAATAACTTTTGAAAAATTGCATTTAGGCAAAAATGTTAAGAGACCTTTTTTGTAGAACATGAAATTCCCTTGAAGAATCCAACATGAGCTTTTTTAAATATTCATTGGTTCATTAGTTACAGAATTTCAAAATAAAAAGGGCAAATCGAAAAAATACATCGATTTATTAAGCTCAATTACTCGGAAACGGCTCGTCTGACAAACATTTTCAATCAGACCTTTTTTGTAGAGAATTTAATTTTGTATCAAAATAAGTGATAAGAATTTTTGCATTCTAATTTTTTGACAGTTCTAACGTAAAACATCAAATTATGACTAAAAATCAAAAATAGCGACGATAGACCTCTTAAAATTAATATTAAGGGCTTAAATTTTCACGAATTTTTTTTTGTCATTCTGAATGACATTCTCGATATATTTTTCAAAAAAAAAAAATAGTCAATTTTTTTGGCCCAGTCTACTGTACATATTTATAGAAAATCCCGAAACACGTCAAATTTAAATTATAAATTGACATTCTTTAAAGTGAAAATGTGATCCCTACCTTCAACCCCCTTTGAGTAACAGTTACAACCCCTAATTTTTTAAATGGGAAGTATAGGCTTGTGATATATCGTTTGAAAGGTCTCTTCATTCTCTATCAAAAAATGTTATTGTTTTTAAATGTATTGCAAAAATTAACATAAAAAAAATAAAATCATCTTATTACCGAAATTCTCTAGAGTACCTACACTACTATTTCCCGTTTCAGTCTTTATAATAAGACAGTACCTAAGCAAAAACCATATCAGTGTTCTTTTTTAATATCAATTTAAAAAAATCCTTTAAAAAACTATCATAGCAATGTTAGTTTGTTTAAAACGCCTTAGCAAATTGGTTTGTAATAATTATAACTGCAGGATATTGTCAATATTATAATTGTCGTTTGAATTTCATAAAAATGGTTAGATTAACAGAAATGCATAAAATAACAGTTTTACAGATGATTGGTTACGGAGATAACACCCGAACACAAATGGAAGTTGCTCGCCTATTTCATGAAAAATTTCCGAATTTGCCGCCTATATCCCAAGGTACAATTAGTAAAATAGAGAAGCAATTTCGCGAATTTGGACATGTAAAGCAGATGAAAAAACAGCTGCCAATGCACTGAGTGATGATATCAAATTAGATATGATGCTTGAGTTTGAGGAAAACCCACATGCATCGAGTAGACAAGCATCTGCAACATTTAATACAACATATTAAATGAAAATAAAATGCATCCCTATAAAATGATACCGACTCAGGAACTCATGGAAGACGATTTTGATAGAACAAATTTTTGCGAACAAATGATGGAAATGTTGAATAACAATACCATCCAATTAGAAAACGTTATGTTTTCTGATGAGTGCACTTTTTCCGTTAACGGTCATGCTAATCGTCAAAATTGCCGCTACTGGTCAACGGAAAATCTTCAGTGGATGAGAGAGGTCCATACACAATACCCTCAAAAGGTTAATGTTTGAGCAGGGATTGTTGAAAACCATATTATTGGTCCCTTTTTCATTGAGGGGAATTTTAATGGCGATAATTATTTAGCACTACTACAAAATGATGTGGTGCCAAGTTTGCCAAGTTTGGCAAATTTATTTCCTGATCCAGGAAACCCTCAAGTTCCAGCAAATACCATATGGTTCCAGCAGGATGGAGCAAATCAATATCCGCCAGTACCTCAACTTAACATTTCTAAATCGCTGGATAGGGAGGCGAGGATCAATAGAATGGCCAGCAAGATCACCTGATCTTACCTCATTAGACTTTTTTTATGGGGCTATGTGAAAAATATTGTTTACAAAACTAAACCACGTGATTTAGATGACTTAAGAGAACGAATAATGCTTGCGATTAGATCGGTCACGCCTGATATGTTAATTAACGTTAGAAGACATTTTTATTCAAGATTAGGATGTTGCCAAGACGTTCGCGGTGAGCATTTTGAACATCTACTTCATTGACATTCATATTTTTTACGTTATGAACAATTAAATATTACAGTGTATTGTAACAAATTTCGGTTATCAGTTATTATATTTTTTTTATGTTAATTTTTGCAATAAATTTAAAAACAATAACATTTTTGGATAGAGAATAAAGAGACCTTTCAAACGATATATCACAAGCCTATACTTCCCATTTAAAAAATTAGGGGTTGTAACTGTTACTCAAAGGGGGTTGAAGGTAGGGATCACATTTTTACTTAAAAGAATGTCAATTTATAATTTAAATTTGACGTGTTTCGGGATTTTCTATAAATATGTACAGTAATCGAAATAATGAATTTATTCCATTTGGCTTTTCCATACTGTATTGTGTTTAAGCAGCGACAGAGGATGATAAAATTTGTTGATATTATTAACAGTAAGTAAATTATTATATCTACCGTTGAATAATAAAAATATTAAATATTTTATTTAATGAAAATGACTCATTCAGTTAAATTTTTATTTGAAAATACTTCTGAAAGGAAGAAAGATAAATAAATGGCTTATTACGTGATCTCGATAGCGATATAATCGAGGATAGAATTTATTTAGTTGCAATTTTAGTTATTGATTTAGCAGTTAGGAAACTTAAGCTGAATTTCAGGAGTGACTGATAAGTACGGTAAATTAACTCGTGTCGTACTTTAAATCTATTGTTAGGTTTTTAATAAGACTAGTCTACTTTTACAAACTTTATATTTTTGTCTTCGTATCTACACAATTAACTCTGACAAATCAATGTTCTAAATTCCTGCCCATGATTTACTTTATAGCTAAAAAATATTTACGTAATCGTGACTAACACTTTTCGGTAATTCTGAATAATTGTAAATAATATAGGATGTCCCAATAATAAACCATAGATATAGTATATTCTAGAATATTTGTTATTACTTATCAATAATTTTTATTTAATAAAGTAAATAGTTATAAAAATAATAACCACGCATAACAATAATAACTTACAAACTTTATGTTTTTAATAAAAATAATATCCAACTATTAGATAAACTCTAACACTATTTAAATTTTGAAATGTGAATCTTGGAAATAGTGTATATAGATATCTAAATAGTTTATCATATGGTAAGGCCACAGGCCAGAGCACAGCTCAAACAGGCATATTGCCTGCGAAGTCACAGACTTGGACTAAAAGTCCGAAGGCCAAAGGGCACAAAGACGCCACGGGCGTGAGGAAAAGCTCGAACAGACGGTTGTCTGAGGGTCACTGACCCGAACAAAGGTTCAAAGCGAGGTGCCAACCATACAAAAGGGTGATACTCTATCACATCTCCTAAATTGCATTTTTGTTAAAGAGACAAGCACTTGAGTGCAGCACAATAGTTGTCTCACTGGAATAAATTGTAAGCTTTCTCAAGAAGCACCGGGTTCTGTATCTGTAACTTGTAAAGGGTGGGTTACTCCACGGCACTTAGGCCTCATTAGGCCCATTGTGCATCCTCCTAAGTCGATAGGCACCTCCTAGCTCGGGAGCCAGGTCGATATGATTAAGCTGGGAAAAGTGGAAACGCGCATTTTTATCTATATTGAAGCCGCAGGAATCGAGGATCCTCGGAAAAAAGGGCTAACCTTTTAAATCAGGGTGGACTTGGTTTACAAGAAATATTTTGTAACATACCCGGAGCAAATATTGAACACAGCAATGAGGTGGATGCATACGATGTTGCGATTTCAAAACTTGACGAATATTTTTCACCAAAACAGCAAAGTTTATGAACGACACATCTTCAGGCTCATAAAGCAAGATGAAGGAGAAAGTTTTGGAAAATTCCTTTTGAGGCTCCGTAACCAGGCAGAGAAATGTAAATTCCAAAATACAGATGAACATCTAATAGACCAAATAGTAGAAAATGGTAAATAATAATAATAATAATAATAATAATAATAATAATAATGAGTTCCCTTCCAGTACCACAATATGTATATACAAATTCAAATTAATTGCTTATACATATATAAAGATTTGGTATGTTTGGCCTTCACGAATAAAATAAATTAATTCCTAGGTAATTCACTAGAACTACGGAAGAATATACTAGCTGCAGGCGACTCAGTAACCCTGGAAATTGTGATAAACGAAGCCACATCCCTTGAGACTGTCAATCGAGAATTGGGTG